AGGAAGTCATATACTGGCAATTTACTGTGACCTTGAAATTGACCTTTGACCTACCTTACGATGAATTAACTTTGATTGTACCATTTTAAGTTATATATATTTTTTGCATATTTTGAAAATTCTTGTTGATTGCATTTTTACAGCTTGTCAAGCACAAGACTGGTGGCTGTGTCCCTTACTTTGTGTATGTGGGGGTCTATACGAATGCGCTTGCTCCAGCTGGTGGTACAATATTCGGAGGCGGTATCGCCTCTCTGATCCTCTAGTTAATTCATATTATCTTGATGTTCATGGTATATTGCCCTAATGTAAAAATGCCTTGTTTTTAATTATGAAAATACTGTTCAATATTGAGTTTCAGTTTATCGTGAAGTTTACTTTTCATTAAAGAAAAGGATATGGATGTAGCATTCTATGCTAAAGAATAGTGTTCTCTCTCTCTTTCTCTCTCTCTCTAAATTTGTGTGTGTGTTTTGCAGGGACAACAGTGAAAAGGAAGACTGTGATGTGAAGGTTATAGTGCTGGGAGTAATTTTCTTTGACAGACTGATTTCGGTGGGAAAAAGAAACAGAACATCTCTCTCACCTCAGATCTATTTAGTTCATGCAATCATATCCATTTTGCCATTGTGGGCAATAAAGACAGAGTGTAGATAGAGATGAGAACTTGAAATGACTTGCCTCATGGAGAATCCATGTGGAACTTGCTTCTCTTAAGCTGGCTCAAGGGAGTTGAATGGAAGTTCATTTTGTCTTTTTTGTGTGTAAAGATAAGAATTACAGTTTAAATATATGTGCTCAGAATAACTACATATCTTGTCTTTTTTTTCATGTGAGCTATATATATATATATATATATATATATATATATATATATATATATATATATTAAAATTAATATTGTGAAGCAAAACTTATTGGAAGTCATATAATTAAGATATTAGACTGCTTGCTGGAACTTTGCACATATCTTCTACACTATGGAAATCAAATGTTCCATTATGGTATCATGAGTTACTGAACTAAAGAGTACGATAATTACCATAATAGTTTGCATTATTGTCCCACAGCTACACAGGCATCTGTCCTCAGGGATTCTGGACCACCGCCCAGTCTCTACAGCCAGGTTGTGTAATGATCATCAATGTACAGGGGGGCGTGAACATTTTTGTATACTCCCAAATCCTTCCCCTGGCCAAAGATCATTGCTGCACAATTTTATCTTCTTTACTATCTTTCAACTTTTTGTTTTCCCAAAGACACAGAAAAAATATAGGTAGATGCTGGTTTTATTGTGGAAAAATAATTAGATAAAACTGTATTTATGAGCACTTAATATATTTATTCCTGGATTTGAGGTATTATTATTATTCTGTTGTATAACAATGAGTCAATGACTTTGAAATGTGTGGTTTATTATTCCTAGGTTATTCAATCATCCAGACTGCCAAATGGTTTACTAGGGCAACCCTCAGTGGTTTATAAACATGGGCTTACAGAAACATTTACCAAAGTTTATTTGATTTGCAATCAGTTATTTATTATTAGATAATAAATACCGGCTGGCAGGCAAACAGTTGTATTTGATGAACTTTAAGTTGAAACTAACTTGTAGTGTAGATGGGTCCTTCAGCCAGTTAATAAATACATCAAGTTTTCATTCTATGGTTTTAATAACGCTATTATAATGTGAGTAGATGTATGCATGCAGGGAAGTAAATGTAATACCATTATACTTCAGGTAAAGCATTTGGTGTTGGAAAGTAGACTTGATGCTTTTATTTATAATTTCTGTATACTTATGTACATACCACATTGAAATGTATTGCATTTAAGTTAATTTGAATCATTGTTCAATATTATATATATAACAGTATTAAATCATTGAAAGGGAGTGGGGATGTGTCAATTGCACTGTTCTGTAGCAGTCAAGAGATTGGATAATAAAAAGGTGCTTGATGGAATCAAATGAGATTTAATTTGGGAGAAATTTGTGGTGGCTATGATCAATAATATGTAAATTATATAAAAACAGTTTAATAAATTTTGTTTACATGTAAATGAGAGTGCACATGAAATGAAGACAGGATGGCAATTGTTGTTAGTCTCTCAGAATAGATTTCAATGTATTGAGGATGTTTTGATTGTAAGTTTGTGGAGAAATAAAAATAATCAAGCTTTTAACTTCATCAGAATCTTTGTAAAACGGTACACTGTGCAAAACAAAAAAATCTCAAACTATGTGACCTTTCTCAAAGCACAGCAAATGCTCTGAACTCTTGTAAATGTCAAATTATTTATTGGGACTTCAATCAAAATTAATATTTAATATATCCTTTAAAAGTGCAAATATTTTTGAATGTCACATACACTAATGCAAATATCTAGTAGAAATTAAATGCAATGTGAACTGCTTTTGGAATGTTAAAAAGCTTTTATGTCCAAGACGAAAGTTTCCACCTGATTTTAAACCAGAGGCAGGTGGTTGCTTTGGGCTCAAGACTAAATAAACTGATATTTCTTTGAATCACCATGTGGATTTTTCTTATAGTCAACAGTTGTAGTTACAGTGTAGAATGTTGCAAAACATTTACAACCTGGAATATGTTAAATTTAAACTTGTCATTCACAAATCTAGCTGAATATGCAAATTTGCATACTGAACCTAACAATGGTAATTTCAACAAGACTACCTGTAAATGCCAGCTTCATTAAAATCCTTGTGCACTATTAATGTAATTTTTTTTAACCAAGGTCAATATTTGGGTGAAATCAAAAAAAGAGTCAATTATAAGCTACGTAGCATGCAGCTTGAAATTCTTTGCTTTAATGCTTCTTGTAAAACACTGGTTCTGCACGTTGACTCAGGGCCAACACAAAGGCGACATTGCCAACGACTAGAAGGTAGTGAAACCAGTCCACCCTGGGAAGGTCAAGGGGGCCAAGCCCATCTGTTCCCACAGCCCCAGAGGCCACATATGCTAACGCCCCTGTCAGTGCATATGGATTAAACTTTAAAGTACTGAGTATTAACACAGATAATATTGCCACCCCTGTAACAAGCATGGCAGTCTTCTTTCTCAGTTCACCTGACAGGAACTTGTGGGATAAGAAATAAGCCACTGGAACTGCTATATTGGCATGGGCTACAATATAAGTTTGGTTATGTTGTGCATAACCTACAGCAACAAACGGAAGACCCAATGTAGCACCCAGCCAGGATAATGTAGTGTGTAAACAGATCAACCTTTCACTCGGCCGATTGAAGTAGAACCTTATTGTTCCACAACTGGCTGCCATGGCAACAATGAGCAATCCAACTGATGCCATCTTGTTGTGTTGCCATAGAGACCAAGTGCCATGGTAACTGACTAATGCCAGGATGAGGTCAGAGAGAGATGTGCTCAACTGGGCTTTCATAATACTGTGAAAGTGTCCAAAGATGTGTTTTCTTTCTGAGGGGGAAAAAGGATAGATATGCTTGGTTCTTGATAAATTAGTCTGGATCCTGGGATCAGTTAGTTGACTTGTGATGGATGGAGGACTGATGGCCAGTGATCTGGGAGAAAACAGCTTTTACTGCAGTGAAACTCCTGTTACCCCTTCATAAAGCTGCTCCTCCATGAATGGTTCAAATTTGAGACATCATCTGTTTTTCCTAAAATAAACAAAGCAATAATATATTCCATCAATAGGCCTTGTTAGACAATTTCATAAAAGTTAGGGTTACGTAAATTCTTACTTTGTGATGCCACAAGATGACGTAGGTGACATGGCCTGCAATAACATTACATCACCATAATCGACTGAAAATCCATTTGAATCAGCATGCCACCTAAAGATCAGGCACACACACACATACACACACAAGAGACATTACACTCCAAAGTTGTGCCCAGCTCAGGGCTTGCTTACAGTGACTTAGATGATGTCTTCATGTGGGTTACAGTGACCTGGTGACAAATGCAGTAAAATTAAAGTAGCTGGGTACATAGCAGGCCTGTAGCCAGGGGGGGTTCGGGGGGGGGGGGGGGTTCGAAAGAACCACCCTTTGTGCTGGGAAAAGGTCCACTCTGGGTAAAATTTGACATATGTACTTGAGGATTTTATGGTCAAAGGTCCACTTTTTCAGAAAACGAACCCCCCCTCTGAAATTGCTGGCTAAGGTAAGGCATATTTATTTTGTTGGATCCTTCTTAAATATTCTGTTGGGCTAACTGACAAAGTCTAAAAGGGATTAAACTGAAATTTATCAGTTATTTTTTTTTTTTTCAAAGCAGCACGTAGAAATCACCATCATATCAGCCCCTTTCACTAACAATAGGCCTTTTGCAGCTAGATCCTAGAATCCTAGAATCAAAATTTGAATTGAATGTTCATGCGTAGCTCCTCTCCTTCTTATGTGGTAGATTCCAAGTTTCTATGGCATTATTAGGGGGTGAAAAGTGGTGCAACTTTTGACTCATTTTTGAAAGTGGCGTCTGAAACAAATGACAGACTTGGTGTCACTCAAACTTGAATCACTTTTGATCTAAATGAGATAGATTAAAGATTTTAAAGGTGTATTCATACTGAAAATGCGTCTATCTGTGCAGATCTACCACATTTCAAGTCTCTAGACCAATTAGAAAAAATCATGTATGCACCCTACTGTAACAAGTAAACTTACGTGACTCGTTCGTATCAAACACTTTTCTAAGTAATTAATTAACCATTCCCTTTTTTACCTAAAATTAAAAATTCATCTATGACTCTCCCGTCACGTCTGCGACGACTTTTTCAGATTCTGCAACCAAACGAGGACAAGGTTACTTTCCGCTGTATAATTTTATTACCTCCTTTCGCAAAAGAACTACTTAGTACTCAAACAGAACAAACTACAAATCAGGACCAGATTCAGAAGTTTATTGACAATCGCCTACATCCGGGCATGATCAAATACAAATACAAGAAGTAATCCGCAGAGTGATTACCATAAACAGTATGATATACATTATATAATCATGTCTAGACTAATGGAGGGAAAGTACAAGTGCTACACAATATAGATCAATATCTAGGATTAACCAAAAAAAAAAAAAAAAAACAGCTTAATCAGTGGCGGATTTAGAGAGGGGGGGGGGGTCAGGAGGGCCCTGAACCCCTTTAATTTTGGTATTTAAGAGGGCGAACGGTGCCGTTTGGTAATAAAACACTACGTCAAATATAGGCCTACATGGAGCAATTTTTGGTGGCCCAGTGGTAACGTCCAACGATCTCCAACGACGGAGTGGTTGCAATTCCCACTTAGTCTCTTTTTTCTTTTTCATTGTTATTATTATAAATGTATATTAATATAAAAGACTTTTACACAGTATATAAAGCATATTAGATATAGGCCTACATTTAGGAGCCTAGTATATAAAGAGAATCCCTAAATCCCTAAATATCAGCTAGCAATATAAATTTCATGATATACCCTACCCATTTATTATTTATCAACACTAAGGCCTAAGGAAAAAAACCTGTCCTTTTATATTGAAAAATCAGTGTTGGACATGGGTGCCCGTCCGACCTGGTCTGGTAACTTATTCACGAGAAACTTATGAAGCAATCGTCATATTCGTAGTTTTCATAGAATTTAATTTCAGAAATTAACTAGAAATTTATATAAAAAGAACCATAAAAGAAACCATAATATAGGCCTATCGTTTTCATTGGCGCAGCCATAATTTTATGTGAATCTCGCAAGCAAGGGTATGATTTGTAGTAATTTCTTAGGGCTTAGCGGACGATTATTTGGAATTTTTTTCATTTATGTCCAATTGCCTTAAATTAAACTAAACAATCGGTACACGTGTAGGCCCTAACCTTTTGGAGTTGTCAGTCCTGGTTTCTGGCTGGCATTTTCCACGAATTTCCAACACTGTGAAAATTGATCAAAATTGTTGAAATCTGGCAAAATTCGCTATTTCGATCGTCGTTTTTATTTTGATCTGAAGTTCGACGTTTACTCTCTAGGGGCACTTATAGTTCGCACGGGATTCGCACGGGGGCGCTTAGTTTTCATACATGTATGAACGATTGAGCAAAGCCATTTACCAGCCATGTACTACCAGTAGAGGCAAAACACACTTCAGAAAGGCGCAGTTATAAATTTAATATGGTGGGTTGACACATATTAAACTAAAACCATAAATACCAGAAACATTTAATTTAAATGGAAGAAATCACATATTACAGGTAAATTCGCATCCAATATATTCATACAGTATACAGCATATAAATAATCTAGTGCAGTTTAGTTGTTTTCGGAAAGTTGTTTTGCAACATGACACCATTAAATACATTATATAGAGATGAGAGTGTATAGAGTGTACTTAATTATAACCATGATAGTAATAATAGGAAGTCCCTACCTACCCTAACATTTTAGGGCTTGTAACCTTAGCCTTTTGTTAGGCCTTATCAATGTGAACCCGCACGTTAAAAATGAGCCATACTGATTTACAACCCTGGCGGTGTTTCGAGCTTTGGCAGCAATTTTGGTTTGTTTAGTGAGCATATATGTTTGAATGTTAAGGAATTTGGAGTACGGAGTAAAAAGGATGAGCTAAATACGCATCTTCAAAACGCCTTGGCAATCTCTTTCGACCCACATAGACTGGCTGCGACTTTACCAAACAACTCGGGCATTCAAACCAATTCCTAGTCTACCTCTAGTACCCAAAGATGGTTCAACAGGACAGTGCCCACGAGGCCATTTTACTACAGACTTGACATTTAATATGGAATATTTATTCCAAATCATAATTCATCAGCTTTTTTCCTATTTTGCAGACTGATAAATGAAAATAAGGATTAAAATCGTGTTTTAATAACTTTTGATAATCTATTCGATGTCATTGTGACATCGGTTCATTTATTGAATTCGCCCGTGAAGCAAACAAAAATACAATGCCTATTTTAAGTCATACGAAAACCACTGAAAGCGATTTTTTGGATCTCCATATTTTCCAAATTATCGTCTTTAAAAGAGTTACACGCCCCACAAAGGCCCCTCGTCAGTGTCTAGTCACAGCAATGGTCGCTGTTACGCGGGACCTCATTTTGCTGCTACCAGAGCTTTCAAGCGGCAAGGCATTCCTTAGGATAGGTTATTAGAGTTTAATCTGGAATAAAATTCCAGGCAACGGTTAAAACTTGTCCAATTTGGTTCAGTTTTGTTGTAGGAAATTCAGACCTTTGAATCAGGGAGTAATTACCTACCCACATATTGTTTATGTGGTTCAAATTTGGCGATTTTGATGACCAAGGTAGCTGCTCATTCCCTTGGTTCTGTAAGTTATCTGCTATTAAAAGTGTTCTGTGTGAACCGGCAATCTCATCGTGCAACCTAAAATTGTTCCTAAGGTGCCCCTATCATATGATGGTCAAGTGGTTCCCAGAGTATTCCTTTATTTGATCTGGTTCAGGTTTTCAACGGTGATTTCCATTAGTGTTTTGGCACCAATGTGGTATCCACTCCAAATAGTGACGCTGTCAATGGTCCTAGTCACTTAAGATGTGGCACACGCCTTGTCGTAGGCCTCTTCAGGATGTCTGTAAACTATCTTTTGACTAGTTTAGCGGTACGGGTGAAATCTGACCTCATTAAAGAAAGCCACGCGGTTTCAGTGTTCTACCCAGAAACGGTCATGGTCCCCAATTCATTAAGGAAACAGACTACGCTGTTTTGCTGTTTACAGTGGCTTCCTCAGAGGTCGCCTGATATCCTAACCTGCTGAAACCATTTTGGTGTTCGCTAAGAGCCTTGAAAAACGCGTTTTGGTGACAATTTGCCCCTCATTCTAAACGGACTGGGTGGTTTTGGTTTAATTGCAGCAGCATATCCTGAAGGACAGCGAGTCCTGTACCCTGGTGGTAAGATGTCGATACACTGGGGGTAGTCTCTGTGTAGGTGCATCAGTCTGGGCATAACTCTATAAAACTGTGAAGACCATTCCGTTTGACACAATAATCTGTCTGGCAGTGTCTGTCTTTTTCGCGTCATTCTGGCACAGCTTAACAATTTTATAAAACACTGCTTAACTCATTTTACACACTGCAGAACCGACCGCTTGCATGCAAAATTTCAAATCCTCCAATAAAGTAGTTGCCGACATATGGATTCTTTTTTGACAGAACCATGCTTCATCCACGCCAAGCTTTGACCAGGCCAAAGGAGCAGTTAGCCAATTAAATCACTGCATATAACACAATGCAGCAGAGCAACAGACTTGGTAGTCAATTAATTGGTAGCGACACGCCTGACTTCACACTTCTCCAGTCAGATATCTTATGTGAGATCTGATTTAAAAAAAAAAAAGAACGCATTTTTACCTACGTATACCTTTAAAATTGAAACATTCCATATTAAATGTCAAGTCTGTATATGATTCAGTTGAACTTTTCTTGTCCTCCAGATTCAAATGAAAGTAAGTTGGCACAGTCTCAAAGTCGAGCCGCTGGCGACGAGGCGACATTACGTAAGAATGGGGTGAAGACCGTGAAATGGTGGCTGCGTCATTACGCCAAATGTAGATATTTTTGTTGTTGATGACTTCAGGGAGGTCGATATTTTGTTTTTGATGACGTTAGAGGTCATATATAGTTTTATCACATATTCTATGCCAATGATGTAATAATTCATGATATACTTATTTAAAATTTATCAATACTTTGTATTGTGAACCTGCATGTTAAAAATGAGCCATATTGATTTAGAACAATGGTGGTGTTTCGAGGACACTTAAGGAGAAGAGTTTTGGTAGTAATTTTGCTTTATTTAGTGAGCATATATGTTTGGATGTCGAGGAATTTGAAATCAGTACAGAGTAAAAAGGATGAGCTAAATACGTATCTTAAAAACGCCTTGCCAATCTCTCTGGATCCACGTACGGGCTGCGACTTTACCAAACAACTCGGGAATTCAAACATATTCCTTGTCTAGCACTAGTACCCAAAGATGGTTCAACAGGACAGTGCCCACGAGGCCATTTTACCATATGATTCAGTTGAACTTTTCTTGTCCTCCAGATTCAAATGAAAGTAAGTTGGCACAGTTACGAAAAACGTCTCAAACTCGAGCCGCTGGCGTTCCAATAATCCCTAGGATTATACACCAATCATGGAGTAATAAAGATTTGCCAGTGCAATTTGCCAAATGGCAACAAAGTTGGAGAGTTTGTTTTCCTGACTGGGAATTTAAATTCTGGACGGACGAAGATAACCGTGCTTTAATCAGGGTTACAGTGGACTCCCCTGACATCCCCCCCAGGGTTTAAAAGACATTTTTAATATAGTCAACATACCCTCTAATCTCCACATTAAACTGATTAAATCTCTGCTCCGAGGTTTAATTGCTAGGCCCACGCAGCGATGGTGCGTGTGGAGGTTGTGAGACCATCAGGGAATTAGCGGCATCGCTTTTAAGGGAGGTCGACCATATTTAGTCGGTGGATCAGTTGGTCCGCAGATCATCTGGTGTGAATGTGCTCTAAGACCCCATTCCCAGAGATTAGATCGATCTACTTTAGATCGACCTAACTCCCTGGGGGTTCACGCTAAATAGCTGTCAGCCGAGCGGGCACGGAAGTTAATTACCCCCTTACAGCTTGTAGTAGGCGGGACGGACATTTAAGCCGGATTATCTGACAGTAATCTAGTGAGACTCCCCGCGGGGATAGATCGATCTAAAAGCTCTGGGAATACGCCCTAAAAGTGCGTTCGCTGAATTGGTTTTCTAATAGGTTATTACTGTATGTTCCCAAGGCTGTCGCAAAACGCCTCTGCTCTGCTTCTACCCGCACCTCCAATACAAAAATTGCAGAATCATCCCCCAAGCGGACACAGAAAGGAATTAGAGAATGCCAAACTGCATCAACGTTACCTCATCACGCGCGTGCCGTACTGGTTGCGACATTACGTAAGAATGGGGTGCAGACCGTGAAATGGCGGCTGTGTCATTATGCCAAAGGTAGATGTTGTTGTTGTTGATGACTTCAGGGAGGTCGATATTTTGTTTTTGATGACGTAAGAGGTCAATATACAGTTTTATCACATATTCTATGGCAATTATATAATCATTCGTGATACTTATTTATAATTTATCAACACTTTGCATTGTGAACCCGCATTGAAAAATGAACCATATGCTGATTTAGAATAATGGCGGTGTTTCGAGGACACTTAGGGAGACGAGTTTTGGCAGTAATTTTGGTTTGTTTAGTGAGCACATATCTTTGGACGTCACGGTGTTTGAAATCAGTACAGAGTATAAGTGATGAGCAAAATACGTATCTTCAAAATGCCTTGCCGAGCTCTTTGGACCCACATAGACGGGCTGTGACTTCACAAAACAACTCCGGCATTCAGACGTATTCCCTGTCTAGCACTAGCACCCAAAGATGGTTCAAAAAGAAAGTGCCCAAGAGACCATTTTACTATATGATTGAGTTGAACTTTTCTTGTCCTCCAGATTCAAATGAAAGTAAGTTGGCACAGTTACGAAAAGCGTCTCAAACTCGAGCCGCTGGCGTTCCAATAATCCCTAGGATTATACACCAATCATGGAGAAATAAAGATTTGCCAGTGCAATTTGCCAAATGGCAACAAAGTTGGAGAGCTTGTTTTCCTGACTGGGAATTTAAATTCTGGACGGACGAAGATAACCGCGCTTTCATCCACGCACACTACCCCTGGTTCTTAACGACATATGACAGTTATTCGCACAATATCAAAAGGGCAGACGCTGCGCGTTACTTTTATCTCTATCATTATGGAGGGATTTACGTGGATCTAGATTATGAATGCATCAAACCGTTTGAACATCTCATTGTTAAAGACTTAATATTTGAATCAACTGACATACGGCTCGAGGGGAATATGTACCCACATAATCCATACATCCAAAACTCTCTTATGATTTCACGTTCACGGCACCCATTCTGGAAACTGGTAATTTAATTTTTGTTCAGCAGAAAATTTACTGTTTTAAAATGAATTTTTACTCTTTTTCTATTTCTTTTTTTCTTTTCTTTTCTTTTTTTTTTTTTTTGTTACTTTAAAGTTTTAGGCTTAAATACTGTATTACTATTAAAAAGGAATATAATATCAAATAGAAGTACCCTTTAAAATATCTCGCTGCTGATCGTACTGGTCCGGTCAATGTCGTATGTGTTTTGGTGTGTAATAAAGCATGTTATCCCAGGCCCGTAGCCAGGGAGGGGGGGGGGGTGTTCGGGGGTTTCAAACGAACCTCCATTTTTGCTGGGAAAAGGTCCAATCTGGGTAAAATTTGATCTAGGTACATAAAGTTTTTATGGGAAGAGGATCACTTTTTCAGAAAAAAAAACTGTATCCCGTCCATTAGGTATCCCCTGCGTAGGCGTGAATGAATGACTTTGGTTCTTATGTTTTTATTCAGGCGTGTTCCGACTTTTTTATGGAAATGTGCTTCCCGATACAACGTAAAAACAGAATTATATCGTAAGTCGAGGTCATCATGTAGGCCTACTTTTATACATCTCTTTTTTTTTTCAGCTGTGGCAAGATCTACTGACACACACTAAAAAGGCTTTGAAACCTGACTTAGCCACAGGTCCAAAAAGACTAATGGCTGCCATAAAAAAATACACCATGTACAACGAAGATTATTTAGTGTACCCTCCTTGCTACTTTAACCCTTTCCCTTGGGGACAGAATCTAACACACTGCAAGACTCTCAACCGGATGACGGATCAAGAGGTGACTGCATGCAAAGCCCATTATCCGCATGCATACACTATAACATTTCATGCTCAGTCTTGGTTAGCTGGAAAGAAAAATCTCATTTTCACTGATTAGTTTATATTGACAGCGCTTTACTGGAGCCTGGGTCACAGAAGCCTCACCAGACAGCCCCCCCCCCCCAACATGGTTTAAAAGAAATTTTCTTAAAGATGTCAACATACCCTCTAATCTCCACAATCCTCGCCCTGAATTTTTAAAAATAAGACTTTGAACATATAAATGCCATGGTTTTTTACAACAATGGGGCTTACACCGCTTTAGTGTGTACTCGCTTTTACTAGGATTCTCAAGTAACAGACTAACGCATATATATTGCCATCTGATCACGCATCAACGGACAATAACGGTATCGCGCAGCATGGTTTATAATAAAACATGATGAACTGAAATATCGTAGTTGTCTATTTCTTATTTCATCTGCCCCCAGTTTGTTCTTGCACAATGTACGTCAATGTTCTGATTTAAATTTCATTCAAGAGACCATCAGGGGATTCGGGTGGCTTGCTGTTTCATTGGGTCAGCCATATTTAATCCGAGGAACAGTTAGTCCGCGGATCATCTGTTCTGAATGCACTCACAGAAAGCAACAACATGAGCGCATTCAGAACAAGTTGTTACGCAGACTAACAGATCCGCGGACTAAATATGGCCAACCCACTTAAAAACGTTGGCGCTAATTGCCTGATTGTTTCCCCACCTCCACACGCGCCTTTAAACTGATTAAATCTCTGCTCCGAGGTTTAATTGCTAGGCCCACGCAGCGATGGTGCGTGTGGAGGTTGTGAGACCATCAGGGAATTAGCGGCATCGCTTTTAAGTGAGGTCGGCCATATTTAGTCGGTGGATCAGTTGGCCCGCGGATCATCTGGTGTGAATGTGCTCTAAGAGTGCTTTCGCTGAATTAGTTTTCTTATAGGTTATTACTGTATGTTCCCAAGGCTGTCGCAAAACGCCTCTGCCCTGCTTCTTCCCGCTTCTCCAATACAAAAATTGCAGAATCATCCCCCAAGCCGACACAGAAAGGAATTAGAGAATGCCAAACTGCATCATCGTTACCTCATCACGCGCGTGCCGTGGTTGCGTCATTACGTAAGAATGGGGTGCAGACTTTTCGTTAGTTTGCAGGTGAAAATGTTCATGGGGAAATGAGAAAATTAAGAATGTGTATTTTAGCACCTAATGACTCCCCTATGAACGTTTATTTCCTAAACATGCTCGATTTTAGCCTTAATGTGTTTAGTACAGTAGTATGACGCTTTTAACGCCTAATACACACGCATGTAGGGTGTATATGTTTAGCTTTAGGGTTTCAACGATTATGTCCCCCGACCGGTTGCATTGAGACGAGATTTAATTACTGCGCCCCTGCGGGGACGACGCGTGGGGAGGCGTGAAAGAGGCGGAGAGACCATTACAGGATTAAGTGGTCTTTCTTTCATGTAGGTCCGCCATATTTAGGCCGTGGACCAGCTAGCACTCGGCTCTTCCCATTCTGAATGGCCCCTATCTCACCACGGCCATCTTTGCCTGTAATATCTATCTATCCATCTTTCTACCTATCTATAACAAGCTACCGTGAAGTATCAACATCATTAACTTTACATTTACAGCTGCACTTAATCATCCTTGCGTTACGTGACCTTAAGGGGAAGTTTATTAGAATGTTTTCCTGAAAAACTTGTTTGGAAAATTTAATAGTTTACTATAGCCACCAAACAACTATCCCTTTTACTTAAAAGCACCACTTTAAATATTTTGATAAAGTTCGGTGCAGCATTGAAGTCTATTTAAGCTTTTCCGGAAGTAATGAACTATAGAATATCAGGATGATAGTGGGGTATTCAGTGTAATAGTTAATTTAAGCCTTCATCACATACCAGTTATTTCAGTAACGATAGTCCGAAGATTCTACAATTCGTACCGCTATAGTCGCCGACTAACCCCAAGCCCAGTTTGGAATTTACAGCTGAATGTAGTTCAAACAACGTAAGAAGTGTTTTGGTTTCTTATAAAAAAGGTATTAAAAGAATTATATAAAGTTTTTTCCAGAATGTTATAAAACGCTAATAAAACTCCACAAGACAACGTTATCATAATGTCTTGTAGAAATATATACATATTAGAAACTAAATTGAGCAAAAATTTGAAAATTTTGAAAATTGTTGTACACGTTACACAGTCGACGTTCATTGTAAAGACACGAGCGTGCGTCGTGAGCACGCCTTTTATACACCAGGCATGGGGGTGACGCACGTGCGACGCATTCCCGGTGTGCTCTCGACTTTGTTCGTTAGTTGTGAGGGCGTGCACCTTACTCAACACGCAAAGGGCGCTTGCCCCTTCATTGCTTGCGACGTGCGTCGGGGGGGGGGGGGGGGGGGATGGTAGGGGGGGGGGGCAGATTTTCATGTTAAAATTTTTTTGACTCCGGGAGTCAGATTTTCATGGGAGTCAGATTTTCATGTTACACCGGCATGATTTGTCAATGTCGCCAATTTGTTTATGGTTGGAAGGGTATCACGTGATACGTCAAAAGATGCGCACGGACAGTCATGTGATGTTTTGCCAGTGATTTTACACAGCGCACTTTTCGCGCATGCGGAGTCGTTTGAATCCTGTGCTGTGATGGTGGCTGCGTCATTACGTCAAAGGTAAAAATTAGTATTAGTATTAGTATCAGATGTCATATATAATCCAAGCTTTCGGCCCCTAGGTTTTCTTTGGGGATTATGAAAAAAAAATGAAAAAAATAAAAAAGCAAACTCCTAGGATACGTGACGTTGGTGATGTGTTAAAAACACGCGATGTCCAAAAGCGTGCTAAACGTAAACAACGTAACAAAGAAAGAATTAATAATCATTTAGGAAACTATTGTCCCTATTAAGTCCGTTTTTCAAGGTGTCTAGTGTTCTTATAAATTTCTGTTCGGCGATCCGTCTTTGCCAAGTGTCGTTTAAGTTTCCTTTTAAGAAGGTTACAGTGACGTCTTTAGCTGAGTGGTTCGGCGTGTTGAAGTGTTGTTCCACTGGCACGAAGAGGTGTTTGTTGTTTATAGTGCAGCGATGGTGTCTAATACTGTCTTTTAATTTCTGGCTCGTTTCTCCGACGTACATTTAATGGCATTGTTTACATCTTATCAAATAGATGACGTTCTGGGAGTCGCAAGTGTATTTTCCCCTGGGGATGAGCGTCTTGTCTCCTGGAGTGATGATGGGGCTGTGTAACAACGTGACTCCAAGATGGCGTGGAGTCGTCAAGCGTCTTTATTACATAACATAAACAGGTCATACAATTAACGACATTATGATACATCTTCCTTTTTTTTTACAATAAAAATGTTTCTAAATAAAGTATCTTATGCTTTAATCTACATTGTTTGTTCTCCTCATCTCAATAACTAAACAGTGTCTTTTAACACTCTTCAATAAGTCTCTTTGGTTTAACAATGTTTCTACCACTACGAGTCTTGACATCAGGTAGAGTTACAACTTGTGGCATAACATTACTTGCGCCTGAGAAGGACTCTGTTCCATATCAATATCTACTTCTACTAACAGTGTCAGTGACATCACCAGATATGTTGGGCCAATATAATACTCTTGCCCTACTAAGGCATTTCTCAATACCCAAATGACCTTCATGTATTCTGTGTAACATATCTTTTCTCATTGAACTTGGTATTACAACTTTTGTACCATGTACAATAACACCATCAATCACTGCTAAATTCTCTCTAAAATGAAAATATGGTTTCAAAAACCTATAAGAGTTCCATCCATTGTGAATTGCTTTCATTACCAAATTCAGAGTTTCATCTGACTCGGTTTCCATAGCCAATTTTTTCCACATAGGATCACTAAAACACTTGGATTCTCTAATCATGTCCAAATGCAATTCAATTTCTTTTTCAGTGTCACTTTTCTGACTTGGTTCATATGCACGAGATAATGTATCTGCAATTACAAGATACTTGCCAGGCTTATATTCAAATTTCAAGTCATACCTTCTAAGCCTTAACATTAAACGTTGTAATCGTGGAGTTAAGTCACTCAATATCTTACTAGAAAGTGATATCAAAGGTTTGTGATCAGTCTCAGCTATCACATCTGCTCTACCATAGATATATTCATGAAATTTCTCTGCAGCAAATACCATTCCTAGCAATTCTTTTTCTATCTGTGCATATCTACACTCTGTCTTTGTCATTGCCCTAGAAGCAAATGCAACAGGTTTCCACTCATGTTCATGTAACTGTAGTAAAACTGCTCCAAGTCCACTTTTGGAAGCATCTGACGATACTTTCGTCTTCCTGTTGTGATCGAAGTACTGTAATATTTTGTCACTCCTGATCATATTTTTCAAACAGTCCCATTCTTTCTTATGTTCATCAGACCAATTCCAGTCTACAGTATTCAATAACAAATGTCTCAGTTTCGTAGTCTTCTCTGACAAATTGGGCATGAATTTTGATAAGTAATTAATCATACCTAGCCCTCTTTGTAATTCTTCCTTACATGTTGGATCAGGCATATTGTTTATAGCACTGACTTTACATGGATCTGGCTTTATACCATGTTCTGTAAGACAATCACCTAGAAATGTTAAAGCAGTACAACTTATTTCACATTTGTCTCCATTGAGCTTCACGCCTGCTTTCTGTACAATATTCATCACACGTTGTAAAATTCTATTATGCTCTGACCATGTTTCAGCATAAATCACAATATCATCAATAAAAACTTTCACATTTTTCTCATTTTCAAATAACTGAGCTATCTTAGCATGAAAAATCTCTGGTGCACTTTTCACCCCATATGGCATCCTAAGAAATGAATATCTACCAAACGGTGTAGCCACTGTACACAACCTGGAGCTTTGCTCATCTAACTTAAGGTTATAGAAACCATGACGAAGGTCCAGTTTTGAAAAACACTTGGCACCTGCCATGTCACTCTCTATTTCAGATTTCTCTGGTAAATGATAATGTTCTCGGCAGACATATTCATTCAATCTTAGAGGATCCATGCATATTCTAAGGTTACCATTAGCTTTTT